TTGCCTAGAATTGCTTTTGCTATTCTAGGTCTCTTCTTGTTCCAAATGAATTTTTGGATTGTTTTCTCCAGGTCGGTGAAGTATGCTGTTTGAATTTCAATTGGGATTGCATTGAATCTATATAGCAGTTGTGGAATTATGGCCATTTTCACTATATTGGTTCTTCCTACCCAGGAGAAAGGGATGTGTTTCCATTTTCTGATATCCTCTTCGATCTCCTTTTTTTGGAGTGCTGTAGTTTTCAGAGTAGAGGTCTTCTATTTCTTTTGTTAGGTTGATTCCTAGGCTTTTCATTTTTTTGGATGCTATTGTGAAGGGAGTCATTTCTCCAGTTCCTCTTTCAGTGAGTCTATTGTTTGTGTACAGAAAGGCCATCAATTTTTGTGTTTTTACCTTGTATGTAGCTACTCTACTGACTTTGGTTATTAAGTCTAGAAGACTTTTTCTGGAGTTCTTGGTGTCTTCTATATAGAGTATCATGTCATCTGAAAACAATGACAGTTTAACTTCTTCATTTCCTATATGTATTCCTTTTATTTCTTTCTCTTGTCCAATTGCTGTGGCTAATGTTTCCAAAACTATATCGAGCAGGAGTGGTGATAGTAGACCTCCTTGTGTTGTTCCTGATTTTATTGTGAAAGCTTTCAGTTTTTGTCTATTTAGTATGATGTTGGCTGTTGGCTTGACATAGATGGCTTTTATCAGGTTCAGATAGAGACCATGTATTCCAATTTTCTGTAGGATTTTTGTCTTGAATGGGTGTTGGATTTTGTTGAACACTTTTTCTGCATTTATTGAGATGATAATATGTTTTTTGTCTTTGGCTCTGTTAATATAGTGTATTGCATTTATTGATTTGTGTTTGTTGAACCATCCCTGTATCCCTGGGATGAATCCCACTTAGTTAGGGTGTATGATCATCTTGGTGATCTTCTGGATTATGTTTGCCAGTATTTTATTGAGTATTTTTCCATCTACGTTCAGTAGTGAGTTTGGAGTACAGTTCTAGAGTTTTTGGTTGGGTCTTTCTCTGCTTTGGGGATCAAGGTGATACTTGTTTCCAGGAATGAATTTGGGAGTATTGCTTCTCTTTCAATTTGATTAAAGAGTTTAAACAGTAGTGACAGTAGTTCCTCTCTAAATGTCTTGCAGAATTCAGCAGTGAAGCCACTGGGACCCAGACTTTTCTTAGTTGGTAAGTTTTAAATTACATTTTCAATTTCCTTGATTGACTTTGGATTGTTTAGAATTTTTAGGTCTTC